TCATAGAGAAGGGGGACATTGGACGTATTTGAACATAAGAACATAAGAGAAGCCAATGCTGGATCAAGCCAGTGGCCCATCCAGTCCAGCACTCTGTGACACACAGTGGCCAAAAATACCAGGTGCCATCAGGAGGTCCATCAGTGGGGCCAAGACACTAGAAGCCCTCCCACTGTTGCGCCCCCCCTCAAGCACCAAGAATACAGAGCATCACTTGCCTCAGACTGAGAATTTCCATCTATACCTTGTGGCTAATAGCCACTGATGGACCTCTGCTCCATATGTTTATCTAATTCCCTTTTGAAGCTTTCCATGCTTGTAGCCACCACCACCTTCTGTGGCAGTGAATTCCATGTGTTAATCACTCTTTGGGTGAAGAAGTACTTCCTTTTATCCATTCTAACCTGACTGCTCAGTAAAATCAAAGAGGATTTTTCCGCTGATAATTGGCATGCTGATCACAACCTCCTTTGAAGTTTGATATCGGTCCAAATACCAGTACATAGGAAACATACTGGTTGGGGCTATGCAGAGGCCTGTAATGACATTTAAAGCATGCGCAGCACAATCTTTTGTAATGCGTGCTTGCAAATGCTGTCTCTTAATTGTTCAAATGACCTTTTAGGTCCAGAAATATCCCAAGGAATGAGGGGAGGCAGCAGACTGCACCATCAGAGCACTGTTAATTGGAAGAGCTGCCCATCTGCTTTGAATTCAATTGCCTTTATTTAAAAAAAACAACCCGCAACATAATCCCCTTCAAAATGGATCTATTGATAAACTGGAACTGGCAGTTTGTAGGGACCAGCAAGTCATCCATGCAGGGAAAAAGTCTTGATGATGAAGCAGTGATTCAACAAGACATTTGTATGTTACTAATGTTTTCTTGGAACTGGTTGTTTTGAGCTTCCCAGCGATCCCGAATGTAATTGGAACATTTAGGCCTGAACGGGAGAGAAGTACAAAGTAATACTACTGCAGTGTGACAGCATAAATTGGTACCGCTTATCAAGATTGTGAAACGGTTACACTTGAAGTGTTGAGCAGAGGAAAGGCATTCATGAGACACAAAAATACTGTTGTGCTTTCCCCCCAGCTTCCCAGGGAGGGGTGCTCATGAAATTGATATTGTATCTTTGAAATTGCTCGTGCTGGCTGGCGCTCACCACTGCATCAGGCCAGAACCTGGATTTGTAGCTAATGACCATTGTTCCCTCTAAGCTGAGTTAGTGTGAGCTAGCTCACAGCTTTTTAGCTTCTGGCTCACACATTTTTGTCTTAGCTCAGGAAGGAGGGCTCCAGAGCAAGCTAATCCATGCAGTAGTCAAATCGCTCACTCATAACTTTTACACTAGTCACTCACAAAGTAGAATTTTTGCTCACAAGACTCCACAGCTTAGAGGGAACATTGCTAATGACATCTGTCCTTTTGCTCAAAGAGGTTAGTGTATCCAAAGGGAAAGTGGATCAAACTAGAGGTGATGGGGCACACTTGAAGCATCTCCTAATGGGAGCCAGTGCCATATAGTGGTGAAGAGTGGTAGACTCTAATTTAGAGAACCTGGGCTTGATTCCCACTCCGCCTCCACAAGAAGCCTGCTGGGTGACCTTGGGCCAGTCACAGTTCTCTCTGAACAGCTCTCTCCGCCTCGCCTGCCTCCCAAGGTGCCTGTTGTGGAGAGAGGAATGGAGTGTGGTTGTAAGCCCCTTTGTGAAAAGCGTGGTATAAACATCTACTCTTCTTCAATTTTGCTTTGTTGTGCCAACAGAAGCGTCCAGATTCTCTCCTGAGAGAACTGGTAAGGACCATGTTGTACCACCACTCGTTCCCTTTTTTCATCTGGCCTTTTCCCGTTCCCGTGAAAACCGCTCTGAGAGACTACAGTGCTGGTGCATGTTTTTGGTTTTCACTATTCTGCACTCCCAAGTTACCACTGATGACGAAGAAGAGGAATAGGCTTGTACCCTGCTTTTCTCTACTTTGTACATTTTCAAAGGGGCGTACATTCGCCTTCCCTTCCTCTCCCTACAACAGGTGCTTTGTGAGGCAGGTGAGGATGAGAGAGTACTGAGAGAACTGTGAGCGGCCCAAGGTCACCCAGCAGGTTTCATGTGGAGGAGTGGGGAATCAAACCCGGTTCTCCAGATTAGAATCTGCCACTCTTCACCACCACAGCACGCTGATGCTGTTGTGTGTCTTGATGTGTGCCAATTCATTGATACGGTTTTTGAAATGGTTCTTTCATAATGGTGGAAATATTTTGAGAGTACCGTTACACTTGAAAAGACTAATTTAGACTAAATATTATTTAAAACTCCTTGCCTTCGGAGTTTTTGCTGGCGCTCAATTCCTCCTTTATTTTTTCTCTCCTCCCATTTCCTCCTCCTCCACTTCAGCTCTTAGAAGTTTTATGCTAATAACTTGGACAAAAACAACTTGTTAGTTGCAGCTGCTTACACATGCTGCAGTCTTTGATCATCGTTCACTCCCACCCCCTAGAAATTTAATTCCTAACTTGCGTATAAATCTACATAAGTACAGTGATTTTAGTGTCTGTGTGCAGGAAGGCATTTACAAACACAACAACCTTGGGATCGGCTCACGATCATTTGCTTGTGAGTGCTTCAGTGTGTATATAGAGGTCCCCAGCTGCTGGGGCGGGACAGGCATGTCTTCACCGTGAACGGCGGAAACCCTTTCCAGAATTATTTTTCAAGCTTTCCTTCTTAAAACACTAGGGTTGAGCTCAGCTCTTCCTTTAATAAGGATTGGATTTAATGTGAACATCTTAAAACAGTTACCACTGATACTAATTATATCTTTGTGGTGAATGCACTGTGTTGATCTGTTGTCTTAAAATGGTTTGCGGAGAGGAAATTGGTAGTTGCTCCTTCTTACAACATTTGCAACTTTTGATCTCATAATTCCCTCTATCCCAAAATCTGATTCCTGTGGAGAGTCTATAGAGTTCACTCATTGGTAGAGAATCGGCTTGGTACACAGAAGGTCCCTGGTTCAATCCCAGGCATGTCCAGTTTAAAGGAGCAGGTAGTGGGTGATATGAAATCTCCGCCTGAGACCCTGGAGTGGAGAACCTCTGCTTGTTTTGGCAGTACTGACCTTTATTTACCAAGGGCCTAACTCAGTATATGGGGCTGCAGTGGCTCAAGTGGTTAAGACGCTGAACTGCAGTCCGGAAGGTCAGCAGTTTGGCAGGTTTGAGACCGGAGTGCCGCATGACGGAGTGAGCTCCCATCTTTGGTCCCAGCCCCTGCCAACCTAGCAGTTTGAAAGCAAGACATTGCAAGTAGATAAACTGCTTCAGTGGGAAGGTAACAGCGTTCCGTGCACCTTGGCATCTAGTCATGCCGGCCACATGACCACGGAAACGTCTTCGTCTTGGAAACGAAGATGAGCATTGGATCCTTAGGGTCGGATTCGACTGATTTTCGAGCAAGGAAAACCTACCTCAGTATACAGAGCATCACATGTGCATTGACAGTAGACTGTGGTCAGATATCAGTATCACTGCATAGGTGTAGGATCCCTTTTTATTTTTTTTACAATGTTTGTTGGCAAAGGTAAGACTGAGGGGCTGTTCGTACCCAGCTCCACATCAAACCTTGCAGCAAAGCAGATTTTTTCCTACTGGCCATTTGCTATAAGAGGGAGGCTTGCTGCCTACGTTGCAAAACTGCATTTTAAAAAGATAGCTCTTTGTTTGTTTGTTTTAAACCAATTGCTGCTGGTCGATTCTGTTTTGTTGTCAGTTTTAAAGTGGGACCCTAGGCTGACCCTGGTGTTCCAGGGTAAACTCCGAAGAGGAGATCTGTTTAATGAATCATTCATATGTACAGGAACCTGCCTAACTGTGGTCAACACCTACTACCCCTCTTCACGTCACACCTAATCCAATTACTCCTGTTATTGCCATTCGCCTACTATTGTCACTCACCTGCTATTTGGCATCTGAAATCACTCCACTCTCCAAGATATAAGGACAGATGGACCCACATTCTAGCTGCATCTGAAGAACAGAGCAGTGACTCACGAAAGCTCACCAGATTTTGTTAGTCTTTAAGGTGCTACTGGACTCTTGCTCTTTTCTATGGTTAACAATAATAATTCATTATATATTTTTTAAAAAAATGTAACTTCATTGGGTTGGATCCAAAGTTTCCATTCCACTAGTAGAGGAGCCTTTCTTTACTAAAAGATTTTCTACTGGCGAAAGACTCCTTGCACCAGATGAAGGCTGTGCTGTTAGTGGAATGGAACAATTGGATCCAACCCCATTGTTTCACAGTAAGCCCAACAAAATAGCCATATCCAATATGCCATCTGAGATTTAACATATGGGTAGGAATGCTTTTGGCACGGCTGATACAAATCTTCAGGTGAATGGGAACAGACTGTCTTTATTGGAAGATACACGAACTTATCCTGATTTGTAATTCAGTGAGACAGAGTGTAAATAAAATTTGCCGGCTTACTTGAATTGTTATAAGGTAAACTATACATCTTGATTAACTTGCCTATATAGATTTTAAAAATATGGAATAGATTAAGAATTAAAGCAGATTAATGCACTAGAATTTTGACAAGGAAAAATGGAGCACAATAATGTTCATGTGCAGCCCTGACCTGGATAGCCCCAGCAAGCTCAGTCTCACCAGATCTCGGAAGCTAAGCAGGGTCGACTCCGGCAAGTACTTGGACGGGAGACCTCCATGGAATACCAGCAGTCGGGAGGACAGGGGAAGGCTTTATTCAGCCACCTCTCTGAATATTCTCCAGGCCCCCCGTAGGGGTCAGTCACCAGAGGTCGCCGTGACTTGCGGGGTGCATCCACATGCACGCACACACCCGTGCGCGTATAAAAAAAATACCAAAAAAAATAATGTTGATGTGTAGAGATGCTGGATGATGTAGTCCAAAGAATAACCCAGATTTTGTGGCCACTCTTGTAAATCTTGTTTTTGTTTCCCTTCTAGGCGTGTGTACCCTGGATCTGCTCCATCCCCCCCTTTTTTTTGTTTTGGCTATCAGGCATTTCTGGTCTGGAAATAACAGCTCTACCAAATGGACAATATGTCGATTACGAACACGCCAACAAGTAACGATGCTTGTCTGAGCATCGTTCACAGTCTGATGTGCCATCGACAAGGAGGGGAGAGTGAAACGTTTGCAAAGCGAGCAATTGAAAGCTTAGTGAAAAAGCTGAAGGAGAAGAAAGATGAGTTGGATTCGTTGATTACAGCCATTACGACCAACGGCGCTCATCCTAGCAAATGTGTTACAATTCAGAGGACATTGGATGGAAGGCTTCAGGTTAGTAGAACCACGTGCATCAGTGATTGCTACGTGCATGCAGGAAGGGAGGAGAATATGGCATTATTACAATGTAATTACCCTGGGATTGCAGAGCTTGCAGGTTTGGCTGGGCTCTTGTAGTAGCATCTTGCGGGGCATAAAGCGTTATGCTATGCCAGGAGTCCAGCGTTCCTTCTAAGCTGAGTTAGTGTGAGGTAGCTCGCAGTTTTTTAGCCTCCGGCTCACACGTCTTTGTCTCGGCTCAGGGAGGATGGCTCCAGAGCAAACTAATTTATGCAGGAGCCAAATCGCTTGCTCACAACTTTAATGCTACTAGCTCACAAAGTAGAATTTTCACTCACAAGACTCCACAGCTTAGAGGGAGCATTGCAGGGGTCCTGTAAGTTTTCGATCCCGTGGGCACTTTTGGAATTCTGAGACAGAGTTTTGGGCACAGTGACAAGAATGGCTGACCCAGAATGGCTGCCAGAGCTTACCTTCAGTCACTCGGTGAACTGTGGTGAGAGATGCTGCAAGAGCAACGTCCTTAAATATCTGCATAGCCTTGCTGGAGAAGAGCCCCAACTGTCCCTGCCGACTCTTTAAAAACGCTAGGCAGGAGCCATGGCACCCATGGGCGGCACACCGGGGAACCCTACCCTAATTCAACGTCATACTTGGATCCTTGGGAAGGGGCTGTGGCAGTGCACCCACTTGGTATGCAGAAGGTCCCAGGTTCAATCCCTGGCATGTCCAGTTGAAAAAGGACCAAATGGTAGGTGATGTGAAAGACATAAAGAGCCCTGCTGGACCAGACCAGCGGTCCATTTAGTTCAGCATCCTGTCTCACATGGTTACTCTGGAGGTCCAGCAACAGGCCAAGACCTTCCCCTGATGTTGCTTCCTGGCACCAGTATTCAGAGGTTGACTATCTCTGAATGTGGAAGGTTCCCTTGAGCCGCCATGGCTAGTAGCCACTAATAGACCTATCCTCCGTGAGTCTCCATGAATCTACGCCAATTTGGTGTAATAATGGTTAGGAGTGGTTAGGAGCGGTGATTAATAAATTTAATATAATAATGTAATAGTAATCTGGAGAACCGGGTTTGATTCCCCACTCCTGCTCGGTGACCTTGGGTCAGTCAAAGTTCTCTGAGAGCTCTCTCAGCTTCACCTGCCTCACAGGGTGTCTGTTGGGGGGAGGAGAAGGGAAAGGGATTGTAAACTGCTCTGAGAATCCGAGTGAAGAACAGGGTATAAATCCAATCTCCCCCCCCCTCCTCTTCTTCCCTTTTAATAAGAGCATAAAGACCCCTCCCTGAGACCCTGGAGAGTTACTGAGTAGATAATGCTGACCTTGATGGTCCACGGTCTGACTCAGTTGAAGGCAGCTTCATGTGTGTCGTTTGTTAGACGCTGTCTGTTTTTGTCATCCAGTTTTATTATCCTTCCAGGTGGCCGGTCGCAAAGGTTTCCCTCACGTAATTTACGCTCGGCTATGGCGGTGGCCCGATCTCCACAAAAATGAACTCAAGCATGTCAAATATTGCCAGTACGCTTTTGACCTGAAATGCGACAGTGTCTGTGTAAATCCATATCATTACGAACGTGTTGTGTCGCCTGGCATTGGTAAGCATGTTTGTGTGAGGGGTGCCATTAAGCTTGGGGGGGGGGGGCCCTAAGCGAGGCGTATCTTTTCACTGTCGTCACTCTCTGTGCCCTTCGCGATGGGCAGTCCTCTCATACAGCTAACTGATTGGACAGTTTTCATAGGTCTTGGGAGGCTGAACGGGGAATGATCCCTCCAGGGCTCAGTTGTTGGGGGAGGGAGGAAGGGAAGAGAGATAATTTAGCCTGTATTTCAGTTACGTCCACAGCAGCTTCCATTTTCCTTTTTCCTGCTATCTCTGGCAGTTCTCTCTGAAGCGATCGCTTTACACGTGTCTCTTAAGTCGTTCTGTTCATTTACCTCCCCGAAAGAAACATCAGTGTAAAAGATTACTGAAGGAACAACCATCAGTGCTATTAAAGGTGAAGGTTTCCCTTGCTCTAAAGCCAGTCGAATCTGACTCTAGGGGGCGGTGCTCATCTCCGTTTCCAAGGTGAAGAGCCAGCGCTGTCCGAAGACGTTTCCGTGGTCATGTGGCCAGCATGACTAAACACCGAGGTGTACAGAATGCTGTTACCTTCCCACCGAAGCGGTACCTATTTATCTACTTGCAATTTCTTGCTTTCAAACTGCCAGGTTGGCAGGAGCTGGGGCCAGAGACGGGAGCTCACTCTGTCATGCGGCACTTGGGTCTCGAACTGCCGAACTTCAGACCTTCCGGTCTGCAGCTCAGCATCTTAACCTCTGAGCCACCGCAGCCCCACAGTGCTATTGCTCCAGCCCTAATATTTTCCCGGCCGTGTAATAGAGGTGTAGTGCAAGACTTCTGGGTTACTTCCCCAGGCATAGATTCCTACCCTGCTTGGAAGAATGGTCAGAGGGCCAGTCAGCTACGCGCACCACAGGAGTAAAGAATGTCTGGCTCTTTGGGTGGTGTTTGAAAGGTCATCACAGCGAGGACCCCGGTAGTTTCTCACTGGCTGAAAAACAATGGCATTCCAGGTCTGGTCGTCCTTGCTTGTCTGTGACCTGCAAAGATCAAAAGAAGCTGTTGCACCAGTTGTGTGCTGAACTGTTCATGCTCCCAGTTGGTCCTCTTTCAGCCGCTCTGTGGCTTCAGAGATTTAGGGCCAAACTGGATGTGATGGCCTCCTCATAGCCACCATGAGGACACGGCTGCTGCTTTAAAGCGATTTTAAAATGCTGGGGTGGCCTAGAATCATAGAATCATAGAGTTGGAAGGGACCTCCAGGGTAATCTATGCAGGAAAGTCACAAATACCTCTCCCTCCACACTCGTAGTGACTGCTGTTCCACATCCAGAAGATGACAGAAAACCTCCATGATTGCTTCCTGACCCCAAAGTGGCAATCGGCATTTCCCTGGGCGTGTCAGAAAGGGCCACGAGAACTAAGCACTGAGGCAACCCATCCTGCCCTCCCTCTCACGATCTGCCTAAGTTCACAGAATCAGCATTGCTGTCAGGTGGCCACCTAGCCTCTGTTTGAGAACCTCCAGAGAAGGAGAGCCTACCACCTCCCCAGGAAGTTCTTCCTAACGTTTAGCCAAAAACTCTTCTGATTTAATTTCAACCCGTTGGTTCTGGTCCGACTTTCTGGGGCAACAGAAAACAACTCCACACCATCCTCTATAGGACAGCCCTTCAAGTACTTGAAGATGGTGATCATATCACCTCTCAGTCATCTCAGTCCTGGTCAAGCCTGCAGTGTGACCGACTCCCCCCCCCCAGCACCCTTTCAGGTGCTGAAACAGCTGCTGCGTGTGCGTGTGCGTGCGCTTGATGGGGATGGTGGGGTGGGACAAAGTAATCTCATCCCGCCATGCTGTGGGTTTGATCGGGATTGCCGACTCACCGCCTGTGAAGATCACTGTAAGATGCTGGCGACATCACATCTGTTTTGGCCCTTAGATTCTAACCACAGAATGCGTAGCGCACACTAGGAGAACATTGTAACCTGGTGCGACTCAATAAAAATAATGGCAAAGAGGAGGAAAGGAAGGGGAGAAGTTATTCTCCTCCCCATGGCCTCCTGCTGGGGTTTCTCTTCCCGTCAGCCTGGCCAGAAGCAGCTGTCCCTCCCCCTGGACCTTCTTGCCTGAGTAGCGATGCACCGTGTTGCCAGGAGCACAAGGCAAGACTCCTTGGGTGTGGGGTGTGGTGGTGGTGGTGCGCTTACAGGAGGGGAGAGCCACCACCTCAGCTGCCCAGCCTGACGGCCTCTCTTCCTCTGCTTGGCTTCCCCACAGGCAGGAAGTTCTTGTTTCTGTTTGGCTCCAGCCCCTCGCCTCCCTTCCCCAGCTCTCAGCATTTGCTGCTGCTGGCTTGGCTTCTAGTTCACTCCTCTGCCTGTCTTGATAGCAAGCTGCCTCCGTTGAGACACACCATGATTTGGAAGGCTACCCTGAGAAGTAATGGCTAGGGCAGCAGCCCTGAAACAGCCTTGCAGGATGACTTCTAAGAACGTGGCTACTAGCCACAAGGTCTAGATAGGGACTCTGGGGCAAGGGATGCTCTGTCTTCTTGGTGCTTGGGAGGGTCAACAGTGAGAGTGCTTCTGGTGTCCTGGCCCCACTGGTGGACCTCCTGATGGCACCTGGTATTTTTGGCCACGGTGTGACAGAATGTTGGACTGGATGGGCCTTTGGCCTGATCCAACATTGGCGTCTCTTATGTTCTTATGTTACTGTAAAAGAAGCCAATGTTGGATCAGGCCAGTGGCCCACCCACTTCAACACAGTGTCACACAGTGGCCAAAACCCAGGTGTCTTCAGGAGGTCCACCAGTGGGGCCAGAGCTCCAGAAGCCCTCCCACTGTTGCCCCTCCAAGCACCAAGAGTATAGACCATCACTGCCCCAGACAGAGTGTTCCATCTCTACCTTGTGGCTAATAGCCACTGATGAACCTCTGCTCTTCTCACGGTTGTTCCACAAGATGTCTCTAAAGGTGCACACTAAAAGGTATCTCTTGCTTGGTGGGGAGGAAAGGTTGGGCTCTTGTTCAGCCTTGGGGATCTTGTGCTAGTTTGCCGTGTCATTGGCTGATTGTTGGAGATATTCCTCATGGAATGGCACCCGGGGATGGCAGAGGGAAGCCTGCAGGAACCAGTTCTCCCATTTCAGTGTAAAAAGGTACTGTAGTGATTTAATTGTGCTTCACAGAAGCATGTGTTGGGTCTGTGGTTACTTACCCTCTTCCCTCAGGTTTTACAGGCTTTGTTTGGGTTAGTGAATGATTTATTTACAGGTGTTTAAAACCGAGCTAGTGACTAAATGTGTTTCCTTTTCCTCTTTACAGATCTTTCAGGACTGACACTGCAGAGTTCTGGTAAGTTGTGCATAACATTGTTTGTCCCACAGTATCTCTTAAGGACCACTCATCTTTAATTTAAAGCAGTGATAACTCTGTGGATCACGGAGAGCTGCATATGCCATTCCAAGAATACAGAGCATCACTGCCCCAGAGAGTCTTCCATCTAGGCCTCGTGGCTAATAGCCACTCATGGAGCTCTGCTCCACATGTTTATCCAAATCCCCTCTTGAAGCTGTCTGTGCTTGTAGCCGCCACCACTTTCTGCGGCAGTGAATGCCAAATGTTAATTACTGTTTTGGTGAAGAAGGACTTCCTTTTATCTGTTCAAAGCCTACTGCTCACTGATTTCATTGAGTGCCCGCAAGTTCTTGTAGTAACTCTTGTATACTGGACCAGTAGAGATGATGAGATTATCTCAGTTTCTAAAGGAACTGGCTGCCTTCCAGAAAGATGGGGTGGATGTCACAGGGAACTGGGCTCAGAGCCGCGGGTGGTGTGGCTCCCGAGCCTATGAGGGACTGTTGCTGATTTTAAGCTTAAATTAAATGTTTTTAGGAAAACTATGCTTTTGCCTCGGGTAACTTACAAGTGCCACTAGAAAGCACGCTATCTTCTGCTTCAGATTAAATACCCAGGCAGAGAGGGGGAAAGGGGATGTGGTTATTGGTGGTCTTGTTCTTTCTTGAGAGGAAGGGGGGGGGAATCAGGCAATTTAATTTAAACACAGGGAGCAGTTTCCTCAGTTGAGGACCACTGCCTACTTAACTGCTTTATATCATTAGCTTTTAGAACAATTGCATCTGATAAGTGGCTAATGAAAACGCCTCTTTAAACAGTTAACCACTTATAGTTTAGTGATCGCAATGAGGTCCTGCATGTATCTTAAGCCACACATTTCTAATTTACAGCTGTTTACAATGCCCATCAGGTTTGGAACGGATTTGTGAATCACTTTGTCTAAACAAGCAGGTTATCCTGCATAGAAAGTGTCTCCGATGGGCGCTAGTCCAGCCTCCTTCACGGGATCTCCCTTTGGCAGCTCGCTGCACTGCAGAACCACTTTCCCAATTAGGGAGATTCCCATAATTCTCTTATCCTGAGTTGATCTCATTGTAAACTAAAACGGCTGCCGCCGCGGCTTCCGTCCCTTACGGAGTCACAAGCAGCGCTCCCTCTAAGCTGTGGAGTCTTGTGAGCAAAAATTCTACTTTGTGAACTACTGGCATTAAAGTTTTGACCGAGCGATTTGGCTGCTGCATAAATGAGTTTGCTCTGGAGCCGCCCTTCCTGAGCTAAGACAAAAATGTGTGCGCCGAGGGCTAAAAAAGCTGTGAACTAGCTCACGCTAACCCAGCTTAGAGGGAACACTGGTCACAAGGCTGATTCTCCTTGACGAGTTCCCTTTCAGTGGGATGGCCAAGAGTGGGGCCGGCCCCGTAATCTCCTTGTCTCCTTACTGGCACTTTTTTTGTTTCCTCGCAGCGCCTTCCAGCATGCTGGTGAAAGACGAGTACGTTCACGAGTTCGAAGGGCAGCCGTCACTATCAGCCGCCGAAGGCCATTCGGTCCAGACTATCCAGCATCCTCCGAGCAACAGGGGGCCCACGGACACTTACAGCACCCCAGCCATGTTGGCTCCGTCGGAGTCCAACCCTCCCAACGCCGCCAACTTCCCCAACATTCCCGTCGCTTCCACAAGTAAGACAGCGCCGGCCGTTTGCAATCGCCACGACTCTCATTTCAGTTTCCTTGCAAGCCCAAAAAACAAACAAACAAACACCCAAAACAAAGCGAGAATAAAAGCCCAGTTAATTTTTGGCTTTGGTACCAAAACATTTAGAGACAACAGCCTCAGCACTCAGAGTGGTTTTGGCCACAAATGACAGGGAGGGGAGAGAGGGTGACACGTTACAGAGTCGTGATCCAGCCATTAGGCTGATAGGCCCCTGCATTTCAGTATTAGCTTTACTGCGGCTTAATTAGTGGAGAAGGTTAACAAGTTCCGTCATTATGTGGTGCGCGCATCTTAAAGTAACCCCTTTGGCTCGAGTGATAACGCCGACGACAGGCGCTTTCTTCCTTCGACTGCCAGCACGGAGACCGAAATGCCCCCGGCGGTGTGCAAACGATGGGGATGTGCCGAAGGAATCTAAATATAACAAATTCGAGGAAAGGTGACAGGACAGAATATGCAAAGTCTGAGGGGAAAAAATAGGATGGCTGGAGGGCCAGGAAACAGATGTTCAACCTACGCAGAGTGTGAGGAGCAATGTTCCCTCTAAGCCATGGAGTCTTGTGAGCAAAAATTCTACATTGTGAGCTACTGGCATTAAAGTTGTGAGCAAACGATTTGGCTGCTGCATAAATTAGTTTGCTCTGGAGCCATCCTTCCTGAGCTAAGACAAAAATCAGTGAGCTGGAGGCTAAAAAACTGTGAGCCAGCTCACACTAACTCAGCTTAGGGGGAACACTGGTGAGGAGCTGTCAGTCTGTGGCAGAGTTGTTTCAGAATTGAGGAGTCAACCAGCGGCCGGGTGTGTGTGTGTGTGTGCTCTCCCTGAAGGAACAGGTTTGTCGCTTGGGGGTCCTGCTGGATCCCAGTCTGCAGCCGTGTTAACACCTCATATCCGTTTTAGCTGATAGGCCAGCTACGGGGTTCTCAAAAAGATTGATTTGGCCCTAGCGATCCATGTTCTAGCCACCTCTAGGTTGTTTTAGGGAGCGTCTCTGAAAACTGCGTGCACACGAACCTTCTACCCGGAATAGAACTCAGTTGGTCTCAAAGGTGCCACTGGACTCAAACTTTGTTCTGCTGGTTCAGACCAACACGGCTACCCCCACCCGAACCCAACACCCGTGTCTGTGATGCTTTCACTGGGCGGTGCCGGTGATTTGAGCCTCTGGACCTTTCTGCATGCAGAGCAGACGCTCTGCCACTGAGCCACAGCTGTTCCCAAATTAGAGCGGTCCTCTTCCAGAATCACTCCCAGACCCTTCTCCCCCGCCTCCTTTTCACTCCCCGGCGGTGGAGCTCTTCTAGCAGCATGTTTCTAAAACCGTTGTGAAATGTTTACATCTTGCCAGGTCAGCCCGCCAGTATGTTGCCAGGCGGCCACAGTGACGGACTCCTACAGATCGCTCCCGGGCCTCAGCCGGGAACTCAACAGAACGGCTTCACAGCTCAGCCCGCCACTTACCATCACAGTAAGCGGACTTCCCCGTTCCTCTCTTGTACCTGTGGTTTGCTTGCCATGCTGTTTTTGTGCGCGTGCAAGTGGAGGGGGGGGCATGAAACACATTGGACAGACCTCCCTCCTTTCCCCCCCAGATAGTACAACAACTTGGACCGGGAGTCGAACCGCGGCGTACACACCCACCATCCCTCACCATCAGAATGGACATCTTCAGCATCACCCGCCTATGCCCCATCCTGGACATTACTGTAAGCACTTTTGCATTACCGCTTGGATGGATGTTTCACTTCTCCGATACGATGCCTGTGGGAGAGCCGTTGTGGTGTCGCAGACAGAGTCTGGGACTTAGAAGAGGGGATTGCAACTTCAGGTACCGGGCAAGAAATTTCCTGGGCGGCGTTGAGCTAGTTGCTTTCTTTCCGCCCTGACCCCCACAAAGTAGGGAATGGGGACGGCGCCATAGGTGCTGCTCTGAGCTTTGTGAGGGAGGGGTGGGTTTTAAATGTGAGGACCCAAGCGGAGATAAGCTTATTATAGCACTGGGAAAAGGTGCAGAAAAGGGCAACTAAAATTATTGAGATGGAACACCTTCCCTTCGAAGAAAGGTTAAAGAGGTTACGGCTCTTCAGCTTGGAGAAACGACGATCGAGGGATGACAGGATAGAGGTTCACAGAATATACATGGGATGGAGAAGGTAGAGAAAGAAGCACTTTTCTCCCTTTCTCACAAGACAAGGACTCGTGGACACTCAGTTAAATCAATGAGCAGTGGGGCTTAGAACAGGGAAAAGGAAGGATTTCTTCACCCAAAGAGTAATCAGCATGTGGAATTCACTGGGAAAAAGAAGAATTTCTTCACTCAAAGAGTAATCAGCATGTGGAATTCACTGCCGCAGGAAGTGGTGGTGGCCACAAGCATAGGCAGCTTCAAGAGCAGATTGGATTAATATGGAGCAGAGGTTAAAACGCTGAGCTGCAGACCGGAAGGTCGGTAGCTCGGCAGTTCGAGACCCTAGTGCCACATGACAGAGTGAGCTCCCGTCTCTAGTTCCAGCTCCTGCCAACCTAGCAGTTTGAAAGCAAGAAATTGCAAGGAGACAAATAGGTACCGCTTCGGTGGGAAGATAACAGTGTTCTGTGCGCCTCGGCGTTTAGTCATGCCAGCCACATGACCACGGAAAAGTCTGTGGACAAGCGCTGGCTCTTCGGTTTGAAAACGAAGGTGAGCACCGCCCCCTAGAGTCAGATTCAAGTAGCTTTCGAGGAAGGGAACCCTAGAAGTAAACTTTTGCCGAGTCCAGAAGGACTGCTGGGAAGGGGGAGCATCCATGACCAGCAGTGTGTTCCGCAGATGGATTGCAACGTGTCTCAATAGCACTCGCTTTCCAAGAACGTAATGGGAGCAGGTAACAGCACAATCTTTTCTTTTCCAGGGCCAGTTCATAATGAACTTGCATTCCAGCCTCCTATATCCAATCACCCTGGTAAGTGCCTGTTAATGAACCTTCAGTTTGAATGGCCGTTCTTACATACCTTAACATAGTGAAGTTGAATATACACACTTCAAAGTCTCTTCTGTAGCTCATTTGTGATATGGGCACAGTTTTAAAAAATCAAAGGCCAAGGAAATGGCAGGGAGGAGAGAGGAACCTTAAGCCCCTTGGAAGCTTCAAGGCAAAGTTGAACAGCCTTACTGTTTCCAAGGGCACACAATGGGCTGACTCGGCAGCTCTGATCTGTTGCTTGCTTTTTAAGCGCTGGTGATCTTGTGACGCTCTCTGCTAGCTCAGTCTCTCTCTTCTGCCCCCAACTCCCCTCCCCTGCCTGCTCAGCTCCAGAATACTGGTGTTCGATCGCCTACTTCGAAATGGATGTGCAAGTGGGTGAAACGTTCAAAGTCCCTTCGAGCTGCCCAGTTGTTACTGTCGATGGATACGTGGACCCTTCAGGAGGGGACCGTTTTTGTCTTGGCCAGCTCTCCAACGTTCACAGAACGGAAGCCATCGAGAGGGCAAGGTCTGTTTGGGCTCCAGAAAAGGAAGCATCTGAGTCTGTCTGTCTGTCCCTCCCTTCCTCCCTAACTGTCATGCTGTTCTTTAGTTTAGAGCCAGTTTGGTGTAGTGGTTAAGACCGGGTTTGATTCTCCACTTCTCCACTTGCAGCTGGCTGGATGACCTTGGGCAAGCTGTAGTTCTGATAAGAGCTGTCCTTGAAAGGGCAGTTCTCGAAAGAGCTCTCTCAGCCCCACCTACCTCACAGGGTGTCTGTTGTGGGGAGGGGAAGGGAAAGGAGTTTGTAAGCCGCTCTGAGACTCCGAGTGAAGGCCGGGGTATAAATCCAATCTCTTCTCTTCTTCTAGATGTATATAGCCATTGGTAACCCAAGAATGTAGTTTCTGGTGGGTGTGTTCGTAGCTCTGTGTTTAAACCTATACGCACCTTTCCGTTAACAATGCCAAAAACAGTGTGGTGGTAGTATTGGTGGAAAGTGCCGTCAAGTTGCAGCCGACTTGCAGAGACACCGCAGGTGTCGGAACAGGGGTGATTTTGCCATCGCCTGCCTCTGCATAGCATTCCCGGGGTTTCCTTGGTGGTCTCCCATCCAAAGACTAACCAGGGCCGACCCAGCTTAGCTTCTGAGATCTGATGAGAGCGGCCTAGCCCAGGCCCATCCAAGTCAGGCAGTGAGGTCCACAGGCGTGTAATGAAAAGTGTATCAAGTCATCATCACTAACTTACAGCGATCCCGCAGGGAATTCAAAGCAACGGATGAACAGAAGTGGTTTGCCACGGGGTGACGACCCGGGATTCCCTTGGTGGTCGCACATCCAAGTACCAACTAGGGCTGCTCCTGCTTCGCTTCCGAAATCCGACAAGACTGGGCTCGCCTGGGCCACGCTGGTCAGGGCAAAAGCTGTGTGTCTCCCCCTCCCCTCCCAGGTCCAAAAGCAGATTGCATAGAAACAGGCCCGTATGGCAGGCAGAAGCCGCAGCAGCCCTTGAACTGCATTGCCTCTGCTCAGGGGCTTGTTGGTCTTATCTCACAGGTGGAGGAAACCCTGAGTGTATCCTCCCTCCACTGATCTTAAAGAACTGGAAGGCACACCTAGGAGAAGGTGCAACTCAGGCAGACTGCTAGGAGCCCCCAACGTCCCGGGGGGGGGGGGCTGCTTCAGACAGCCATTTCTGTCACAGGAACTGCAGCCCTCAGGTGCTGACATACACAGGGAGAGCGAAACCACTCCCGTGGATCTTAGCGATCCCAGGGTTTTATTCCGTAAATGAGTCCCCATCGGTCGGAGAGTCAGGCTTTCTAAGCAACTAAATGTCGATCGCTGGCCGGTCTCACAAAGTGGTGCTGGGTGTGGATAAAAGCTTTTATTGCCGTGAAAGGGGCTGCGGCGGGGTGTGTTGAAGTGGCTCAGCGGCGCCGGCGAATAAAGGCAACTGTTTGTTTTTACAGTTACTCCCCAGCACACTTGAGATTTGCGGAGTGGCGGCGGAGAGAGGAGTTCAGAGGCTGTGCCTTGGGACTTAATTCCTTCCCCTGCAAAACAAAAAAAGGGGGAATAGAAAAGGAAATAAAATAACATCGAGCACTTTTTCTTTCCTTGCAGCTGAATGAAAATTCTGAAGCCGTTGGGGTGGGCCAGAATTGGTTGCCTCCCCTTGTTTGTTTCATTGATGAAGCTAGCCCTCATGATCCCTGGGCTGTAACTTTGGACAGAAGGACCACAAATAAGTGGAGTAACGTTAGTTTGACAGGAAGCATTTTTGCGTTTCTCCCCCCACCACCACCACGCACAGTTGGTTCCTACATTTTATTTAATTCTTTTAAACCCCGACTTCCTCCCCAAATCAGCTCACCTCCTCTCCTCCACTTTATCCTCTCAACGGTCCTGCGGAGTAGGTCAACCTGAGAGAGTGTTGCTTCCATGGCACGAGCGGGGATTTGAACCGGGGTCTCCCCCGTGCTAGTCTGACACTCTTAACCATTACACGACACTGCTTCCTACAGCTTTGTTGATCACTTGATGAGGCTTGCCTATTTGAGCATTGTAGATCTGACACTGCAGGTCACTTGCTCTCTTGGGGAGTGATTTCACCCTTCTGATTGCCGGCTGTGTCAAATGAAGTAGTTAACCGGTGCTAACAAGGGCTTCACTAAGTCCAGGAATTCTGTCAGTTGTCCCAGCCTTGTTCACTGTCTGCGAGACATCCGCCAGCAACGCCCTATTCAGATGACCTGAACATCGTTAGATTGTAATGGTGGGGGGAAAACGCAGTCAAGTTGTAGTTGATTTCTGGAGACCCTGCAAGGTTTTCAAGGCAAGAGATGTTCAGAGGTGGTTTGCCCTGGTCTCCCATCCAAGGGCTGACCCCGCTTAGTTTCTGAGATCTAATGATATCAGGCTAGCCTGGGCCATTCAGGCCAGGGCTGGATTATAGTAGGTGCCTGTATAGAGTTTCGTTTACAGAAAACACTTGTCAGTGGGGCTTTTGAGCATGGCAAACCGCAGGCAAGATAGTGCTAAGATGCTCAGAAGCAGCAGCGGCGGCAGCATTGGTTTTTATACCCTGCTTTTCTCTACCCTAAGGAGTCTCGGTCTCATTCCCTTCCCCTCCCCACCGCAGGCACCTTGCGAGGTAGGTGTGGCTAAGAGAGTTGAGAGAGGACTGTGACTGGCCTGAGGTCACCCCAGCAGGCTTCATGTGGGCGAGTGGGGGAATCGAACCCGGTTCTCCAGATCAGAGAACCACAGCTCTTAACCACTACGCCACGCTGGCTCTCAGCCTCATAAGTACACAGAACACAGTCTTCTGCTCAGGACAAACAATGTTGCAATTTTTTTTAGCCTCATTATACTATTTTATTAAGTTTTTTAATTTGTTGTAATGGATACAGGTATGGCCCAGATGGATCACATTAATCCAGTATCTTATTCTTGCGTCCCTTCCAAATTGCAGGGTTGAACTCCACGTCTGCTGTTGCCTGACCCATTTAAAAAAAGACACAAACTTCTCTCTGACAAGCTCCACCCTGTTTAGCATAACGCCTTGATCAAATTTTAACCTCCTGCCAGCTAAAGGGCAAAGCGACTCCTGTCACGGTTTATGCTGGAAAGAGCACGTTTTTAAAAAAAATTAATTAAACTTTTTATTAATTTTTCCCTAAAGTAATACAAAAGTTACAGCAGAATTAAAATTGAGATCCATACTTTGAACAGTAACATTTTAGATCTAATAGCTTAGGTTACTCAAGCTGTACAGTAAATAGGCAAATGGAGCATCATAGAGAATTATAGGGTTAAACTGATAACAGGGTGTTCGTAAGGTGTAGAATATTTAAATGAATAAAGCAAGCACTTCTGCAGGTTGAACTGATGTGTCCTCAGCCGCTTGAGAGAGGACGTTTCGTATGCGTTGATATAACCTTCCGTTTTGAGGAGAACCAATTACACACCACCTGACTGTATCCGCGGTTCATCCATAACCCTGCGACGCACAGCTTTGCGAGCATTCGCGGGGGGGTATTTTGCTTGTTTGTCTGGAGTACATTGGAGCGCTCTGTCTCTCCCAGGTTGCATATAGGTAAAGGTGTGCAGCTGGAATGCAAAGGCGAAGGCGACGTCTGGGTCCGGTGTCTCAGCGACCACGCGGTCTTTGTTCAGAGTTACTACCTGGACCGAGAAGCAGGACGTGCCCCGGGAGATGCGGTTCACAAAATTTATCCGAGTGCCTACATAAAGGTGAGTGGCGGCTTGAAAGAAGAACACACAGTGAAGAACAGTGTGTGTGTGTGGGGTGTGTGTGTGTGTTAAAGCATGAGTGTTGCGTAATGCACAAGTGAGAACACTGACTTGCATTGATGGCTCGAGTCATATTCCGGAAGCCATTCTTGGTCATGCCTTGTTTCAAATACGTTTGGCATCCCGTCTGACTGTTCTTTCAGAAACTCACGGTATCCACTGTCACCTGTGGCCAGTCTTTGACTTTCAGTATCACAATCAGTAATTTGGGTCGGGGGTCCCCAACGTGGTGCCCGTGGGTGCCGTGGAGAGCCAGTTTGGTGTCGTGGTTAAGTGCGCGGACTCTAATCCGGGAGAACCGGGTTTGATTCCCCACTCCTCCACTTGTACCTGCTGGATGACCTTGGGCAAGCCGTAGTTCTGACAAGAGCTGTTCTTGAAAAAGAGCAGTTTCTGTCAAGAGCTCTCTGTCCCACCTACCTCACAGGGTGTCTGTAGTGGGGAGGGGAAGGGAAAGGAGTTTGTAAGCCGCTCTGAGACTCCTTTGGGTAGTGAAGGGTGGGGTATAAATCCAATCTCTTCTTCTTCTCTTCAACACCTTTCCTTGGGCCCACCAAGTGAATATTTAAGAAGTTGGTGTGGCAAGATGAGGCCATTTGCCCAGCAAGGCTTCTGATTGGCTACTGGAGATTTGGTTGGCTGTGCAGGTTTCTCAAAACGTTGCTTCGGCATCAGCTGCCACAGTAGAACAAGGGTGTTCATCGTGTGGTTGAAAGGAAGCCACGGCAGCCATCGCGTGACTGGCTCCACAACCGTGAGCAACCGTTTTTGTGGCCGCACCCACCTTGCCGTGTCAGAATCCCAAAAGTGCTTCTGCAGTGCTCCCTCTAAGCTGTGGAGTCTTGTGAGCAAAGATTCTACTCTGTGAGCGACTGGCATTAAAGTTGTGAGCGAGCGATTTGGCTGCTGCATAAACGAGTTTGCTCTGGAGCCGTCCTTCCTGAGCCGAGACAAAAATGTGTGAGCCGGAAGCTAAAGAACTGTGAGCTAGCTCACACTGACTCCGTTTAGAGGGAGGACCTTTGTTTGGGTCATGTTGAAATTTTGCCAAGATGGCGACAAGCTGTTTAGTTCTGGAACAGCTAATTTCTTATTACAGTCAGCACTTGGCTTAGGTTCCTTACAATTCGAGAATGTGTGTGAAGCCTTGTGGTTATGAAAGCATACTGGCCTTCATGAGATGGATACCTTTTCCCCTAAACCTCACTGGGGGAGACATACCAGGCACCAGTACCCTTCTCACTATCCCCCCCCC